TCAGTCAACCAGAGCATTATTTCCAGCAGTAGGTCCATGATGAAATTGAACGAAAATGGAGATACTGGACAGCCTTGTCGGACACCACTTGATGATGCGAAGTCAGATGACAGTTGAACCTTAGGCTCTCACTCGACTAATAGTGTTTGAGTAAAGAGCCCTCACAAGGTTTATAAACTTCTGAGGTACACCTTTCAATGACAGATACTGCCACAGAACCTCTCGGTCTACAGAGTCAAATGCTACTTTTAAGTCAAGAAAGGCTACCACTGTTGGAAGCCGATAAACACGCCTGCATTCTAAGATCTGACGAATAGTGAATATGTGGTCGATTCAGCCACGACCAGGTCTGAAGCCAGCCGTATTTTCTCGTGTTTTCAGTTTACGAGTGTTTGTCAAGCGTCCGATAATTATTGAGTCTAATAGTTTAGATGCTATATTAGTCAAACTAATCCCTCTATGGTTATCACAGGATGATTTTGACCCATTCATATGTATTGGGACAATCGGTGGTTGCGACCAGTCAGATGGGATTACGTCCAACTCGCAGATTTTAGCTAAAATATTAGCCAACCTAATCACCGAAACTGGACCATCATACTTAAAGACTTCTGTAGTCAATCCTTCTGGACCAGCTGCTCTTCCTCGTTTCATATTAGCTTTAGCCTTTCGAAGTTCAATTAGAGTCAGGGATGGGGCGCTGCTTCAATGTTTCATTAGGGCTGTTTGGTAATGGTGGGTAGTTGTAGAGTTGCTGAAGGCCAGTTGAACTGCTCCTTAAAGTGTTCCGCTCATCGTTCTAAACATCTATGCTGAGAGCAGATAAGTGTCGTCTTTTTCTGGAGTCGTCTGACCTACACTTGACTTCTCAATTCCAGCTTCTTTTTCAGTCTTCTACCGTCAATGGCTACATTTCACAGCCTTGAAGTAGAACAGAACGAACCGCCGCACATGTTGTATTCCATGATTACTTGCTCTAACAGCAGAGCTACTTCAGTAGTATACTCTTTCTTCAATACTCCGTTCTCACAGGTATACGGTGACAGCGAAAACTTCAAACTACACTTTAATAACATGATATATAAGCTGGGTTCTGCATGAGCCCCGCCTACCCGATCGTAAATCCTGTAAGAAAGATTTATTTAGAAGGTAAATTCGTAATTGAGTCAATTCACTTACACGGTGATTACATCCAGTGAATATAAGTTAAAGATATTATAAAACTTAATAAATAACGGTAAATTAATTTATATATTGAGTACACTAAAATTCAAATGGACAGAAATCATACAGAGTCAATTCAAACCAAAAATAAATGAACGGATAACACCTTGATTCAGCATGTACACTTCAAGATCGATTTATCCGAATAAATAGTATTTGAGGATTTAGCATCTACATCAGTATTGCATGATTTAATATAATAAAACATAGATGTAACTGTGATGGACCAACAGGATGAATATTTTTACAAACCTAAACACCAATTATTATAATGACCATCTAGATGTTGTTGCGAATACCAGTTATAAGATTTAATATTGGAGCCAATTTACTTGATGAACACAATTAATGAGACGTCAATAAATTGTCCTGATAGTAACGTCCCACCAGCAACCTATTAACACTGAAAATCCACCTTACATCTAACGAACTTAACTAAAAAGGTTGACGTTGATATAACAAGAACTAGGACCACTAGTTCTTAGAACTTCAGTAAGTAGATGCAATCGGAATTTAACTCGGTCATCCAACTTGTCTGACTAACAACGCCAACAATACAAAACACAACAGTTCAGCTCCCCTAAAAGAATTGCAGACACGAAAAAACAAAGCTCAGGAATTATTATTATTATTAATGGCTTTATTCAATATTATAATCTGGTACAACATAGAATTCTCAGCACGAGTTATTTCAACAAGTTTACTCCTGTTAGGTTCAATGTTACGAAATGTATGTGGTAATCTATTTACTAGATTTCTTATCATTACGTCGGTTCCCCGAGAAATGTTATCCAATATTCATTAAATCCTCAATGGAGTTTACAAAACATTTCAAGTGATGCTAGGATGTATAGACCAATATGAACCAGTTTGTACTAGAAATCTGTTATTTAATCCAGGTTATTAATTGAGTGGATGTCACCAATTATCATGTACGCATGCATTTTATAATTTGTCATCAAATGGTGAAACATTTGGTGAGGGGTACTTGTAGCGCAGATTTTTATGTCTATTTGTAAACGAGGCTGTGGAAGTTAGTGGTATTTATTATCACAAGACTATTCATTCAATACAAACAACTCGGACTTAATTCACCCCTAAAGCTTAGCAGTAAATCATGAATTGAGAAATGAAGTCAATGTTTAGGTCATACTTTTCAACATTTATCTTTCGTATAATATAGTAAATCAAATTGGAAGTCTTGTAATTTTAGAAGATTAGTATCATTAGGCTGCATATGATTTGGTGGTTGTGTTGATATCACCAGTACTATTACCAGATACATAAACTTCTGGGTCTAAATCGTCGATAAACTCAATTACTTTTCGCGTAGGTAAGTCTTAAAATGCTGAATGTAGTTAGAATTTTACGGATCACTGATTACATCTAATAGTAACTGGGATATGTTATCAAAAAAACCCGGCCACAATTCGTAGGTCAGTGATTATGATTTTTCACCACACGACTGATAAGCTTCGTTATTTTCATTATCGAACGAGACGCTTTTGACACATGAAGCCAGTTCTGTGGGTGTAGGGAAGCATATAAGTTTAACTGACAATCGGCTGAATTTACCAGTGAACAGAAACATAAAGCTAGTGTATTACTAACAGCAATGCCATTGTCGTATCAACATAGCGACCAGATAAATTGCTTTGATTCGTATTTATGGGCCGCTCTTCGATATACACCATACTTTTTATATTTGGTGACTGTGCTATTTCCAAATCAACTACAATTAAAATTTATGGTTAAGATCTACACGGATTGTGTAATTATGGGTCATTCTTCATAGTCTCATGCATTCCCTTATTAAAAAAACAACAACATGCATGCTCTTATGCAGAAACACACCACTTATCGCAAAAACATTCCAAGGCATAACACAAATATCTAAAGTACACAGATAAAATTTATTCTAACACGGTAATACTGACAACACAATACTAACTTTCTTTCTATTTCTTCGAATCGACCTGCAGATTTCCCATCAGATTTGCAACAAGCTCGTTCGCTTTGTCTTTTATTTGAAGACTGATTCATAGATAAAGCGGCCGTCACTGGTTTAGTCTGTGATTTATAAAAATAATCGTGATGCATACGAAATCTTAATACAACCACTTGTTAAGATTAATCTTAAATAGCTACTTGAAAGACAGTTATACTAAAGATTGCGCCAATAGGGAGACTCGCCAGGATAACCAATCAGAGATAAAGGAATAAACAAGTTGGTTTAAAAACAATGTTCTAACGAAGTTTAAGAGGTGAAGTAACAAAGTGCTCGATTGTCTAAGGGTTCGATTTTGCCTGCAGTATGAATGTGATGTGGAAAAGTCAGCGTTTTTTGCACGATTTATACTCAGTTCAGAGGTATAAAGAAGGCAAGATCATTATGATTAGATCTACTAAACTCCCACGTAGACACAACTGGAAAGTACGACTATTAACATTCTTGACATGCACGGAATCCGAAACGACTGTATACGCAAACCAGTGAATTAGCAACAAATTTGACTAACGGAATTTCCTCTTCATGGCTGAGCTACGCAAGTGATGTGCTACTTTGGAATGAGATTCTAAAATTAATTTCCCTAGAATCCTACAATTTTGAACAAATTTGTGTATTAGAACTCAAGAGTTTTTTCTACTGAGTTAATTTCGGAGTTTATTGACCACCTCTTGATACGATTCAGATAAGACTAAGAATAATCTTACTTCAATTTTTGATATTTAGGTTGGTAATCATGATATGATTTACGAGGCAACGAAAATATCTAGCTTGTTAGTATGAACACTGGTCCTTAAACAACGACAAATCCGAATTACAAGACAATCACGCACGGCTAATTCTTTATTAATTGCGCTGTTATTTTTTTAAATGTAAAACTCTAAATGCTACCCAAAGCACTTCACGAACAACATAATCATAAGTCAATCGACGTTTGCGATGCTATTATTATTAATAGATAAAACCAACTTTCAGGACTGATATGGTTGTTTTGAAATACCCACACATCTTTCATTTTTTTCAAAGCAAACAACTTACAGAAATCCGGGACTTTCACATTAGATCTCAGTCACCTGGTTGCTGAGCAGAAGTTCCAATGTATCGAGAAAAATAGGGAGAAGGAACCTGTATTCACAATAAAAGATGTAAGCCAATATAGTGAAAGGATGGTAATAATTTGAAACGCACTAGATTGTAATTTGACAATGGCTTTAAGATAAATATACACTGGTCTTACGTAGCAACAGCTCGAGGAGAAAACCAACCAATAGTTTGTAGTTGATTTCCTAGTAAAATATTATTTGCAAGGTTAAAAGGGACGGTTTATTAATACTACTGAAAACAATGATGGCAGTAACGATAATAAGAGAGCAGTATCAACCGTGTGCTACGTGGCTGCTCTCAGATACCAAAAAGTCGGGAATTTTTAAAGACATAGATACATATATAATTAACTCATGATACATTGAACTCTAATTGACATTACTTTCTAAGAGACGAAGATAATCTTATTAGTGAATAATTACAGGCACTTGGGATTATAGTTAGTTTGCAGGTGCCTGAGGTAGCAAAAATATTGTATCTGGCATCACTTAACAAGACGTGTTGAATAATAATTCCTGATACGTACATTACTACTGTCGATTACCACGATGTGAGGAAGTCAAGATTATAAAAGTGGCCAAGAATACCATCGTTCATATACCAGTAATCTATTTAAAAATTCTGATAATTTGGATATAAAGTTAGTGTTGAAGTAACTTCTAAGTTAAAATCGAAAGTCACCGCCTTGTCCTGAAGCCCCGTCGGGAGCAATAAACCGGAATTCTTGTTCTGAGTTTTGGGGAAAAGTTTCATTATTCTCTCTGCCATCACCAGCCACGACTTTGCTTTCGTTTTCATCATCCTGAAAAGCAGAGTAAAACTGTGAACATACATTGTCAACAATAATTCGCAAATTTTAAAACTGTGCCGAGTGAACAAGGAGTCAGTCAGTCAGCTACAACGTAGAACTAGGCACATCTATGCTATTGAGGATGAAACAACTGTTTCTAATGCAGACAGCTTTTTGATATTTCAAACTGATATTGTTTCACGGAATTATAGTAAGCGAATGTCTGAATCAATAACAAGCATACTCCCATAATGCCATTAACAAAGTACATAGCAAACAAGTACATCTATGTAGCCACTTTCATCCAACAGATCCCTTAATACTACTTGTTACTTTTATTTTAAGAATGATCGTATGTTGAGATTAGTGAACTTTGAATAGACTACATTTCGAAGAAATCACCTTAAAGTTCAAATATTGATGATAAATTTCGACCGCTTTTCGAGAGCTAAGTTTTTTTTGGTTTTGGTTCTCATGTATAACTGACTCGAGGTTAGTAGCCTACCGTTCGTTCTACGCATTTCTACGCATTCGGACAATCAGGATTTACAGAATATTAAATTTCGCTGTATATCTGAAGCCTACAATCTACTCAGACAGTTTTGCCATATATATTGACATATCAAGAAAACATGTACGTGGCTTTGCTAAAAGAGGCCTGAAGAAACCTGAAACTTTGTTCTTAACTATGGACCACAAATAGATTGGTCTTCATTACAAAAAAATGGAGCTGCTAGTTTGTGATACCTGATGACGCGACAATGAACACAAACGTTCCAAAAATAATAAATGTGTAAAAAGATATTCCCAACCTACCGCATCATTGAAGTACTTTTCAATTAAGTCGTAAGCAATTTGATAGACTTGAACATTACTATGGTCTTGCAGTCCTTCCAACTTATCCAAGCCTCCACATGTTTCTAACTCGATACAAGCTGGTTCTAGCTGACCATACTGATCAGAAATCTTGAAGGGAAAATGAACATTTCAAGTAAAGATTAAAGTTTCAGGTCTAATTAAAAGATATGAAGCGTTGACAAAAGCTTCAGCGATACCCCAGAAAGATAAAATAAGTAGCAGTTGAGATTAAATCATCAGAAAAATTAGAAACGTACCTCTAGGAGTTTTTTTATTCCTTCTAAAACCATAAGTACAACTTTCGACTCCGAGACCGTGAGCATATTGCATAGAGCTTTCAAAACATTTTGGTTCAACAAATATGCACACTGTGCCGGAGTCCCACCGCTAATATAATTACTGATAACCCAGCAGGCTTCTTTTTGAGTTCTGAATTCACCCTAAAAAGCAAACACGGACATATAAGAACAAGGGTGTTAGTATGTAATGCTCACAGTAGTGATATCTAACGCAATAAGTCAATCATAAGCTTTGTAAACCCTTGAACACATGCGCATTGGTTTATGTTGCCACGTCGCATCAAAAGATGAAACTGTCAAGTAATAATATTTAAACGGGAGCAAAAATTATGAGTCTGTTAACAAGTTTATGCGGAATTCGCGAACTAATTTCCAAACCGAAGCAGTTAGTATTTCAGTAGCTACGATGCATTCTGAAAACAATGATAACATTCACCAGGCATTCGGGTACGAAATATACTGTCACAGTTAACAACGCAGTTGCCCGAACCGAAGTATCCAGAAACGGACGAAAGTTGAACGTTCTTACCACTGAAACGTTTCCAAACACTGATTGTGATAAGGATACAAACTGTGAACAAATGGTTCAGATACGGTTGATGAACTTAAACTTTTCGTTGTCCGTCGCAAGTTTCGGCGTTAATGACCAGTCGGAGCGTTTCATATTTAGAGCAGAAACTTACCTTAAACATCCTGGAATTGTAACCAAGAACAAACATAAGACTTAGTTCTGTTAATCTTTATTTTCACTTAACATCCTTTGTCGGCTCACGAACTTTCGGAATGACTACGGAATAAGCAAGCAGGACGAAGTATTACTTTATTCATGATTTGGGTGCTTAGTCACCATGTTTGATTCATTTTAATTGAGTAATTTGTTTTAATATTTGAAGATGCGGCACACAAAAAACTACTGAAATTTGTGCATAGATGTCAAGATTGTTCAAGCGATAAGCTAATCGACTCATTACTATGGACGTTTAATAATTACTTCTATGATCTGAAGACATAATATTAAGGCTTCACACACACATGAACATATAAATATTGGTGCATGTGTTCACGCGCACACTGAATATCTAATAAGAAAAACTACTGACCAAACTAAAGCATGACTAGAATTTCGGCCGTAAAATTTATTGAGGCTTTCATGAATGTTCCTGACTTAAAATGAGGAGCTTTAGAGCGACCTTCCAAGCTAAAAGTAGGCTTTGAAATGAATTTCGGAGTAAAATTAGTTAATGTTATTGAAGTTTAGGTATTACCTTATAAAGAATTTCCAAAATGCATGGCATGACGTTGTGGCTTATAACCATATCAATTTGATCTACACTTCCGGCGGTAATGTTACTCACCACCCAACAGGCTTCTTTGACTACAGTAGACTTTTCATTGTTTAACAAGGCAGGGATATAAGTTAGCAAACCAGCATCCAGAATAGCTTGTGTTTGTTCATCAGTACCAATGACGAGATTACCAATGGCTCTGAGAGCAGGAGAAATGAGATTCGCCTAATCCGATATAAAACGTTGAAAGTTAATCTTACCGATGATGATGCCAACAGCCGCAAAAGTAACGGGACACATCCACTTTCTATTATATCATCGATAAATTCATTTACAGCATCACTTGCGTATGAAAGAGCCCATGCAGTATCTACAACAACATTCTTATTACCCTCATACTGAAGAAGTCGATTGAGAACAGGCAGGAGCTTTTTAATGACGGCACGTGGAGGAGAAGGATCTCGGTTTCGACAAAGATTAGATAACATCCAGGCAACATTCGATACTACGGTGGGCTGCTTCCAAACTCGGTCTAAAAGTCTTGGGAAAATATTTGGTTACTGTTTCACGTACTTTAAAACTGGTTCAACAACTCCGCTCTCGATAACTATATCACGGAATTTGGATCCATCTCCGGCAATATTACTTAAAGCCCATACACTTTGCTCAGCTATACTGATAGCAGAATGACTCAACAATCGTACCAGTTTTGGTACAGTTCCAGAGGAAACTACGGCTGCTGTATGAGAACTGTCACCGGAAGCAATGTTTGTTAGTGCCCATGCAGCCTCGAAAACAAGATCATCGCTACTACTCGAAGGGGTGTTAATTTAACTTACTGAGTGGAACTAAGAGATGAACCAAGAATCTCGACAGCTCCTCTCTTATAAAACTCGTCTATTGGAGGGTTTTTTGCGCGTGATAAAGTTTTTCTGCAGAGTTGAACTGCTTTGAATCGAATGACCCGATCATTTGACTGCATATCACGGATAACCGCATCGTAGTTAACGTGTTCAGGAGTGTCAACTTGCTTTTCTTTCAAGGGTGAGGTTTCATCTAATTCAGTCAGTAGTATGTTTCTTCGCTTCTGAAGTTGTTCATCCTTCTTAGCTTTGCGAAGTTCAACAGACTGATCAGTACGACGCCTCCGGAGTTCCTACAATCGACAAGTAAATATCGAAAACCTTACCTCAGCATCCTTATCTTTGTTTTTATATAACCGGGATCTTTCCATCACGCCAGTCGAATTACCAGACTTAGCAGTCAACAAGAAATGTGAATTCGAATAAACAAACTTAGCACACAGCCTAACAAGTTCAAAAAGCCGTTAAATAAACAATGTCTCTATTGGTATATAATTCCCATTTAAACGTTAAAATTAAAACACGGAGTTCAGCGAAGAGATCTCTTTTCAACGAATTTATTATCAAACTGTACAGTCGTATATATATGGAAATGTTTTATTAAAGCTTTATAACAAATTCGTTGAAAAGAGATCCCTTCGCTGAACTCCGTGTTTTAATGTCTCTATTCCTTACGAAATGTCTGCATTATTTCTCATATGTGATGAGATTTTGATTAACTATGTAAATATTTCGCTGACTTGTGGCTAGTTGAATCTACTCCATTAGTTAACAATCTTAGGTTGTGTCTTCTCATTTATTGTAAGAGTAACCATGTTTCAGATGCCTAATATTGTCCGAAAATCAGAAAAAAATGCCTTTCAGTTACCAGTGTAGTTCAGGTTGAACATAATGTACCAGGGGGTTACTTCAACTACCATTTTGACTGTAATAAAACTTTTTTCTGATATATCAAGTCATCCCAGATACATACTTTTCGTATGAATAAAGGCTCTAATTGCCTGATGAACATTCAGTCGGTTGGCTAACAAATCCATCTTCTTTGAGGCGTTGGACTTACAATCCCATTTTGGTTATATGTACAATCAACAATAATTATTCATCATTTCAGTCGAATACTTGCGGAATTTCGAGATAAATTTGGCGATTAACTCTCAGGAACTGAGCCCTGGATAAACGTCTTATTATTCTTTGGATTTCTTAGAGAAGCTGTTAACAGTTTGTCCACGTTACTGCTAGTTTCTGTAATTTCCTAGTCATTTGTGTTAAGAACTGAGTGTATCAGTAAGTATTTGAGCTTCACTAGACATGACATTCACCACAGTTCTCGCTAACTCAACGTTACAAAGTAGATGGTAGGAGGAAAAATGTATTGTAGAAACTATACTGTAAGGCATTATTACGTCTTCGACGGTCTCTTTCAAGATGGATAGCCAACAGTAGTAGCAGAGAGTTAGCTATATGTGAAGTATAACGTTATGTAGCACTGGTCATAGTGTAGTATAATAGGGACCCTCCGATTTATCAAGAAGTATGTACTAGTGTTCCCACCAGTTCCAATAGCATAGCAGCAGTGGCGAACATTCAGTCTTGCCATAGAAGTGAACAACCCAAAGTTTTCACATAGTACTGTGTAGAAACCACAAACTAGGACATATTGATTCATCCCGAGGCCGCATGTTCAGGATCAATCTCCATCTGACTATCTGACGTCAGTACTTCATAAAACAACAGAGATTTCGTTTTAACCCACGCCTTTTTTGTTAGTGTTGGACACAAGCTACGAAAAGTAGAAAAACGAGCGTCCAAAAACACCGTGTTAATGGTGGAAATAATGTTAGTACATTAACTTTCTGCAGTTGTGACAAGTGACTGGGCATCTACTTAGGCAGAGAGGTCCATTGCTGCTGTGCTACTGAAGTACCCAAACAATAGTGAACGACTATAAAGGGAGATAGGCGACCGTGGCTGTAAAACATACTTCCGAGATGTACGAAAAGTCTTCCAACCAAACCAATGAAAATGAAAACTAAATTTTCACATAAAAATAGCAACCGTCAGCACAACGTGCACGAGAATTGATGAAAATACGGCCAAGAAAGTCGTTTGCCGAATGTCTGTTACGATCCAAATGGTTCCCAACGTACTAGTAGGTTTACCTGAAGAGATCATCGGACTGTTGATGTTCACTAGTAACAAACGCGTTTTTTAGACATTATTTGGTACTTCTTGTTAGTATTCTTCAAATAACACACGACAGGCTTCTAATAGAAAAAATACAGATCTAGTTTATGCATAGGAAATGTCCATTAAGTGGTAGAAAAGAGTCATAGGTCACATACATGTTTTTCGGATGGTGTCATGATGATAGTGAGAAAGGAATGGAAAAGGACAAGCAGAAGGGCAGACAATATTTAAGTCTCGTCAAGTCATCGGCGATGGAGGAATAAGAGTACGATCATTTAACGTCATTCTCTCTTGTTACATAGATTGTTACGTCAGTGTATTCTTGTGAGTGACAGAAAACAAGCCGATAGTTTGTCTTTAAATGAATAAAGGAGTATACGGATGAAGGAGATTTAAAAGAAAAAGTATTTTTAAATTGTTCAGATTCTTAAAACGTAGCAAGGAAAACACAGTGTTGGATACCGAAGTGATGTGATGTAATCATTGGAGAGTGCACAGTACTGGATGACATTCAATGTAATCCTCTCGTTTCTTGTCCTGAGTGGTGACGGTCATAAGACTAATAATTTCAGCGATACTCAGAGGCTGGCGAGAAATAACGTTTAGTCCAACTGTACTTTTATTTGAACTTAAAGTATATAAACCAGTGGAACAGTGACTTCCATCTTTCCATTATAATTGATATTTTGGCAGTCATTTACCAGATGTATCGTGGTTGGTGCACTTTAAATTTACAATTAACACTGCTTTCTTTGCAAGAATATCAACGAAATGCATCGCCTTCTCATCTACCTGATTACTTTTAGAAAATATAAGATTTATTTAAGTGACCGAGTTGTTCACAACCTATAATTGAACCTTTTTACCATCAATCAGAACGTATAGCTAGCTCCTCAGAGTCAGAAGCTTCTTTAAAGTAACAAAGTCCTCATTTTTTCTATGAGCACAGATATTTGTCACCACAAATTTCCCGACTAGGAACATATCACCTTGGACTGAATCGCTCATTCATTTCACTTGCCACTTATACTGTGTATCGAATTCTGAACCCCTAACTAACAGCTGTGGAAGGTGGTTAATCCTTTATATCAGGCCAATAGGGCAGTTAACATCGTTGATCAAGCCTTTAACGTCATTTACGGTGAAACAATCCTATCCAGACTGCATTAGCTTAGCAAACAACACCTTGAAACGCATTGTTACTTTAAAAAATATGCTGATATATATGGTGACCCCTTGTACTCCGTATCCTTCATTTCAACTGGACGGCGATCAGATGTTGCAGTAGATAAGTGCTTTTATAAATAAATTTGTAGCCGTTTCACACTGGTTTTGACATTGTTGTTTCCATCGAAAAGAGTTAGACAAAGGCTTGCACAATTTTTTCTGAGTTGATATTAAGTGCATTTATCCTTGATACTAGAATAGTAGACCTAATCCCTAATTTTAGGTCTACCATGATGTGACTGCTTAATCTGTAACATCTTACGTGGAAGCTACCTCACAATCTATACTGACCCATCCTACGTGATTTTCAGCAGTACGATTAGCACTTTTGAAGAATATATTTGGACTGGGGATAAAATATATATTAATTATGAGAAGGCGAGCCATTCTATGCTGACAAAGTATTTTCGTGTCCCGGACAATCTCTATGGTGCTGAGCGGTGACTGAGAATCCTCCCAGCTAAGGTCTGTTCAGCTGCAAATGTCGTGAGGTTGGAAACCAATACCACAACAGATCAACAGTCAAGGTTTGTGCCCACATAGCGTCACAGCCTATGTACTTAGCTATTTACTTATTTATTTGAACTAAAAAACGTTGACACAGTGGCATCAAAATATATATGCGCCACACAACGAAGTTGAGGTTGTGAAGAGAAAGAGAAAGAAAAGTGAGTGCAATAAAAAGGAGGAGTAACAATTAGTGTGAATCAGTGTATATGAGAGTGAGGTAATATTAATAATGACTACGATAATAATAACAATAGTGAAAAAAACAGTTCAATTAGAGGAAGTACCTCACGGAAGCGTTCTTCCAATTCGAGAAGTTACTTTCGCTTTTATAAAAAGAGTTACGGTAATATCTCTACTGACTTCTATTCTCACCCATATCTGATACCGTCTCGAATCACCAAGTTACTTAATCTTTAAAACCTGAACCAGGAAAGCGTAATTAACGAACAGAAGACAGTCCTGCACTCTTTTATACCACGACAATATGTCATGCACCAATCACCTCTCAGATATTTCCAAACAGTCTCAGAGTCGTCAAATAATGCACGACATATGCCATGGAACTCGCTCGAATGACATTCGTTTTACATGTCCAAACCACTGAAGCCGGTATCTCAAGATGTTGGCACTAAATGAATTACCATCGCTGTGCCAGAACACACGATGCCGAACCTCTGCACTCTCAACGTCGTGTTGCCACTGGGTGCTGAAAATCCTTTAGGGGCTAAGGTAGTCAAACACATACAGTTACTTAACATACTCAACTCAGAGACTAGGTTTCACAACCATACATCAGAAGGTGTTGTAAATTCAGCTTTCTAAGGCTAGACAATCACATCTCTATAGCTATTAAGTTGGTGTAAGATCCATTTTGAAGGTTCCGTGTATGAAAATCCCTCCAAGTACACACTTGTAACTTGTTCCTCTTGATTCATTTATATGTACATTCTGTTGATCATTTTCAGTCCATTTGAAATGGGACCAATTATGTTTTATTGCAGATTTTGTTTTCCTTACGCTTTCACTGAGTTTATATGATTTTCTCGAACTAGGTTTGCATTGTTTTAATTGATACATAGTCCTTTCGGCAGCCATATTATTTCGTTCCGATTGTAGGGCCAGTGAAGTGTCACTGGGTGTTAATCAAGTAATCCGGCAGTTGGATCAATGAGTATCGAACAGATAGTCGATCCCTGTTATGATCAAGCACAACCAATGCGCATTAGTTAATTGTATGCCATGGACTGGCCCATGAGGTGGTGGTCTCACTATCTTCTCCGTGCCCATTCTCAATAATATATTCCCGTAATAACGTCCTTTGTGTTAAACGGTCTTCAAAGCAGCCATAATACTTGGTAAGTTGAAGGTGTAATCCACGTTAAATGCTGGTCTCGAAGCATGACTTCGAAGATAGCTGTTGGCCACACCATTCCCGTCTCACCTGAGT